GGGGGGGGGAAGCTGCCGGGCCCACAGCCCCTGAGAGGAGCTGCAGGCAAGGACAGCGGCTGGTCCTGCCCTTTCACCTCCCTGCACCCCCAGCCCCGAGGCTCTTTGTCTGAGGCCCTTAGGAGAGCTCCCTGTCCAACAGGGGACACGCTCCTCCTGACTCATCCCCCTCGGCCCTCCCAATCACCCTCCTCCCCCGACCTCAGAGTCCATAAAACTGCCTGACCCCAGGCCTTCGCTGCCCCATCAGACCCCAGATCACCTCCCATCCCTGGTTTTAGCCACGGGCTGGTTACATCACAGGAAGTGATCCGCGACTGAATTAGTCCCTTCATTTGTGGCTCTGCTTGAGCTGCTGAGCTAGTCTCTGCCAGGACCTGGCCCCCTCCAGGTTCCCTCAGTCTCCTGAGCTCCTCACTGAAAGCTCCAGAGGTCAAACCCTGGGCCTCCTCCCTTTTCTACTTACCCACAATCCCTTGGTTATCTTAAGTACTTCCTCCCATGAACTCCAGAATCTGCGCTCAGACGCTAGCTGGCATCTCACTCAACATCCAGATGGCCCGCCAACGCGCGCCTTCCACGTCCCAGTCAAGGGCGACTCCATCTCTCCAGCGGCTCAGGTCAAAACCAGAGGCACCCGGGCCCCTCCAGCAGCACTCTCACACCCAACCCGTCAGCTCTGCACTCGGACCATTTACAGAGCCTGGCCACTCTCACTTTAAGCCACCGCCACTCCCACCTCCCTGACCCAGGTCTCTTCCCAGGACCACTACCCTAGTCCTCTGACCAGGCTCCAGCTGCCACTCTTGCCCCTGCAGTCTGTTCTCCACAGACCAGCCAGGGCGACCCTTTAAAATCCAAGGCAGTCACATGCCCGCTCTGCTCAAAACCCAACGGCTCCTCAGCACGCTCAGAGTAAAGGCTTACTGTGTCCTGCAAGACCCCACATGACCTGGAGCCCACCTCCCACCTTCCCGCTTCCCTAGCCCTTGGCTCCAGACACCCTGTGGTCTCTTTACGGGCCTTGAACGTGCTGAGCACTGTTCTCAGGATCTATATTTGCATGAGTTGGAAGATATTTACTTGTAGGAGTTACCCAGATATCCCAGTGCTCTTCAGATCTATGCTGTAATGTCACCCTAACAGACACATCTTCCCTGACCATCCAACACAACAAGATGATCCCAACCTCATCCACCTGCTTTACCTTCTTCCGTGGCACTTATCACTGGCTGACATATTTTTATATTTACTTGTTTATTAACTGTTTTCCCCAATTAAAATCTAAGTTCCATGTAGGGGAGACCTTTGTTTTGGTCACTGTTATAACACCAGCATCTTGAACACAGCCAAACATATGCAGGAACCAAAATATTTGTTGAATGAATAAATGATCACCTCCTCTGAACTCAATGCACGTGTCCATTCCAGTCAATCACTCCAATCTTTGGTCAATGACTTCTCTACATAATTTTTCTCCCCTCTAGAGAGTGGGCTCAAGAGAAGTGGCACCACCACCTTCATGCCCCCAAGGTTTAGAGCAGCTCCGTCTAACAGGACTTTCTGCAATGGAATGCCCCAAGCATGTACTGTCCTATGCATCAGCCACTAACTTACTTGCCCACCCAGCACCTAAAACGTGGCTGGTATGGCTGAGAAAGGAATTTTAAATTTTATTTAACTTAAATTTAAATAGCCGCATGTCACTAGGGCTACTGTTTGTATAGCACAGACCTAGAGCATAATGTGAAGCACAAAACAGTGGTTTAATAAATGAGCTGGGGGCTTCCCTGGTGGCACAGTGGTTAAGAATCCGCCTGCCAATGCAGGGGACACGGGTTCGATCCCTGGTCTGGGAAGATCCCACGTGCCACAGAGCAACTAAGCCCGTGCACCACAACTACTGAGCCTACGCTCTAGAACCCGTGAGCCACAACTACTGAGCCTGCGAGCCACAACCACTGAGCCCACACACCACAACTACTAAGCCCACGTGCCACAACTATTGAAGCCCGCGCGCCTAGAGCCCGTGTTCCTCAACAAGAGAAACCACCGCAATGAGAAGCCCACACACTGCAAAGAGGAGTAGCCCCGCTCGCCACAGCTAGAGAAAGCCCACGCGCAGCAAAGAAGACCCCATGCAGCCAAAAATAAAATAAAATAAATATATAAAGAAATTAAAATTAAAATTAAATAAATAAACGAGCTGGGTAAGCCACTGCTGCCCAATGGACGTTTCTCACATTAGCATTTATGGGTTCTTGTATTACCATTACGATTTACCAAACTGGTTAGAGTTCACTTAGAGCAGATGCCTGGCTTTCAGTCTCTGAACCCTCACCAACTAGTCCAGAATCCTGTTCACAAGAGGTGCTGTTTATAACAACGAAGGAAGCTAGGTCAAGAGAAGGGACAAATAAAAGGTCCTTAAGTAATACCGTTTCATTTTAAATGTTCCACTTCTGTGACAGGCAGGCAACAATTTGCATGCATGCAAATAACAAAGATACTTATAAAGCAGTTCCTGCTACACTATTTGTATTCCTCCTTTTAAAGGAAGTAACCCTTATCAAGTCTCGTGGGTAAAGTACGCAGACAAGGACTTTTTCAAAAAACGCTTATGAGGGCTCAACTAACAACTTTTAATTCAGTATTATTTCACTTCTCAATGACCTGTTTTTTTTCTTTTCTCCCTCCAGTCTTCCTCCTTCCAAAAAACATACACACACTCACAACACCTCACTTAATTCTAGGGTCTAACGGATGCAACGAAGCTTTAAGATTTCAGCTTATGCAGCTGGCAGGATGAGTACCCGCACAGCTACTGCGCTGCCAGCCCGAGTTCAGAGTCCACACCAGGCGCAGAAAACCAAGCGGAGGCTGGGGGAGAGCAGCATGGGGGCAGATGGGTTATTTGGGAAAGGAAGACATGCAGCGAAGTACGTTCCTGAGAGTCGCATGGCCAAACTGGCCGGGGGGGGGGGCGGTGTCTCAAAGTGAGCTTCTGTAGACTACACGGAAACCCGGAAAGCGCCCCAAGTTCTTCCCGGGAGGCCCGTGACGCTCTCCCCCATCACCTCCGCAGGTAGAAGCGGCCCGCTGCCCACGCTCCGCGACCCCGCCCCAACACACGTTCACCCCAGAGGCCGGAGGCAGGCTCCCTACCTGTGCAGTCAGGCCCTGCTCCTCGTCGTCCTGGCCGCTCAGGACTCGCCGCAGCTTCTCCATGGCCCTGCTCCCGGGCCGCAACGGCCCTTCTCGCCCTCCGAGAAACCCGGAACCGGAAACTCTTGAGGCCGACCGGAAGTTCGGATATCCCGCTTCCGGCGCGTCGGCGCGGCCTTTGCGGCCTCCGTAGCAGCATGCGCATGCGCGTCGGGTTCCGCCGCGGGCGGCGGAGGGTAGGGTATTGCGTTCACGCTGTGCTAGCTGCTAGACGGCCCGCGGGGCGGAAGCTGTCTGGGAAGGACACGGAGAGCCGCGGTCTCCCGCGCACGGGGTCAGCAGTCTCTGCCTCCCACCTCCGGGAGTCGTGACCCAGAGGTGTGCACAGCCGTTGCTTGTTGGATAAATAGACCCACGAACGCGGATCCTCACGAGTGTCCTTGAAGCCTTGTGCCTTGGGTCCACGTCCAGGCCTGCGGACCCGGGCTCCAGTGCCGGGACTAGAAGTCTAGATCTGCAGACTCAGGTCCAGTACTGAGGCCCCGTGCCCCAGACCCGCTTCCAGGCCCGACAGAAGAAGGCTGGGCCCTTGTGCCAGTACTGGCAGGGATTCCGTTCTAAACTGCCGTTCGCCGAGTATCTCCGCTCGAAGGGAGTCCGGGGACAAGGGGCAGGCTTTGGGCGCTGGTGGTGTAACGGGGAAGAGCTAAATCCGATTCCCTGTTCCGTCTGTTTCTTTGCTTTCAGCCTTTGCTTTTCGTCGCTTTTGTTGGTGTAATCATATACATATATTATGGCCTGCCCCAGGGAACCCTGCCCCTCTGCCTGAATGTTAAACTAAAGAGCCTCTCCGTTTCCCAGGGAGACAGCCTCACCCTGCCCACCTGTAGATGGCTGCCAAAAAGAAAAAAAAAAAGACGTTAACACATCCCCTCACCCAGGCTGGCAGTTCCAGGGAATATTTGCAAAACCTATGGCCTTTTTACTTTACTTCCTCGTCTCTAACCCCTTTCTGTGCTATAAAAGAAACTGGCATCCGAACCCCGATAAGGTGGTTTATCGGAGACACTAGTCTGCCATCTTCTCGGTCTGCCGGTAGTGACTTCTTTTCTCTCTTATTCTCTACCTTGCTAAGGAGAGAGGAGAAACTAGGGCTTCCTGTACAGTGTGAATTCCAGAGAATCCTGGAGTTTTCCATAAATACACTCCTGCTTTCCAGTTTGGTGTGATCGTGATGAAATGCCTACTGTTTTGTTTTATTACATCACCTACTCCGTTCCTTCCCTAAAATGTGACAATTAAAAGGTTGAGCCCCAAAGGCTTTTATTGCCCATCCTTACTGCCTTCAGTAGAATTTTATCTAATCTCAATGAGATAGAAAACACATGGTAAGACCCCTAGAAAAACAGATGATACACTTGCTCTGATAAAACACTCCAATGTTCAGCATCTTTTAGGTGGAAAATACTTATATTTGGCCTATTTATACTGAGGTGTGAGATCCTATTCTTTTGTCCTTAACTTAAAAAGATCAGAAAATAGAGCAGAAAAAATGCTATGAAATAATAAACCTGTGTGCTTATATAATAAGAGTACATCTATACACTCTCTAAATTTTTTCCTTTTGAAGTGTAATAACTTTAGTTTTGCGTATGCAGAAAGATGAAATAAACTGATACCTCTACTAATGGGGAGAAAGCTTTCCAAGGATATGTGAGGTTGAGCCATGGAATTTGCCAGTGTCCAATTGTGTTTAACCTAGAAAGGGCAATTTCATAATTTTCAACCTGTACCCGGGTGTAAGAAATTTGACTTAGAAAAGAATATTGAAGATTTAAGAATGTGATTTGGGCCTTTTCACTTCCCATGCCCTATGAGCCAAGCTTAGTTTCCTAAAAAATACCACATAAAATTTATTGAAGTCATAACCCAACGGAAATAATTGAATAAGAGTCTAGGCTCCATAGTCAGACTGCCTGGGTTAGAATCCTGGCTCTCCCGTTTTGTAGCTGTGAGGTTTGGGGCAAGTCAACCTAAACTCCTGTTTCACTTTCTGATATGTGAAAATCAAGGTGATAACAGTTCCTATCTCGCAGGGTTGTTAGGAGGATTAAATAATACATCAATCGACCCTCATTATTCAGGGGTTCTATATTACAAATTCACCTACTTGCCAAAATTTATTTGTAACCCCGAGATCAATACTTGCACTTTCGCAGTCACTCAGGACATGTGCAGAACGGTGAAAAGTTAGTCACCCGACACTCACCATCACGGCTGGGGTGGAACAAGGCCGTGATGTCCCTTCTTGTTTCAGCTCATACTGCAAACAGGCGCCATTTTTGCGGTCTGCTTCCTGCTACATTTTTTCACATACTTGTGCCTTTTCTTGGTGATCTCACTGTTTAAAATAGCCCCCAAGCCTAGTGCTGAAGTGCTGACTAGTGTCCTAAGCACAAGAAGGCTTATGGGAAAGCGTATGTATTAGAGAAGCTTCATTCAGGCTCTTGTATGCTGATGTCTGAGTTCCACATTAATGAATAATACATACTGAATACGCAGTTTTTAAACAGTCACTTCAGACAAGGTTATGGGTTGATCAGTTGAGGAAGGCGCAGTCAGAGGCTCGCAGGACCCTGACCCGTGTCTGCAGGAGTGGGCCCTCAGTCTTCGTAAACCAGTGTTTGCAGCGACTTTATCAAACGTAACCTGCAGATGACAAGGATTGACTATAGGTGTAAGGACGGGGCCTACCACGTGCCAAGTGCTGAACAAATGCTGGGTTTTGTGATTCTAACCATTACTGTTGTTTCATCGTGTCTAATGTCTGCTCTGGGTCCCTGTCTCCCTTCCCATCTGTGGAAGGAAAATCTAAACGGAGTCATTATTGCTCAGAGAGCTCTGTGACCTGGAACCAGGAAGCCACGGAGGAAGGTGACGTGCATGCCTCAGCCTGGATGGACTCTGACCTTTTGACCTGATGAAGTTGTCCAGAGCACCTGCCAGAAACGCAAGATACTTATCGGACCCTTACCCTAAAATAACTTGAGACAGTCTATCTACTTATTGGACCCCTGCCCTAAAACAACTGACGATGCCTTAAGGACAAATCTTCTCTTGCGACTGTCAGTCATGGTTCTTGACAGGCAAACTTTAACAGCCTCCTGGCTTGTTTTCTTTTTTCCTGGCTTTGTGTCTTCAGGAGCCCCTGATCCTTTCTCTTCCTTGGAACACTCCTTTGGGGTTGCCCTGAGTCTGTCTCCCAGATTGCAATTCTTAGGACCCCCAAATAGACTCTTCCTGTTTCCAGCCTCCTGCATTTTTTTTTTTTTAAGCTGACACATCCTAGGGAACAGTCTGTAAGGAAGCCCGAAGTTACGTTGTACTTCGTGCCCAGAATCCTAGAACAAAAGCCGGGAACTTCCTACTTCCTTCCTCTTCCTGCTTCTCAGCCACACAGCTTTCCAGAGGCAATGGCCTATCCAAACACAAGGCAGCCGGACAGACAGGAGGCGATTCCAAGTGGTGAGATGCAAAGCTTGAGAACATCTTTCCTGGGCCCCGAGATGAGAGTCCCCGCTTCCTTCCAGGCCCGCCAGAGGGGGTCTCTGCACCTGCAATTGGTCCCTCCTCCCTCCACCCACCCTCCCTCTGTCCCTTCACCAGCCCACAGGGGAGCCCAAGTGAAGGAAGCAACAAGTTCCAGCAGAGCCCCCAGTCAGGGAAGCTGAGGTCCCCCCTGGGAGACGTGTGGTCCTTTCCGGAGGCAAGCCCAGGGTCAGCCCACCCCCCAGAGGCCACTCCATCCCACGTCAAGATCTCTGCCCCCAAGGGACCCCATGCACAAACCAGCACCCCTTCACCAGCTGACTGTGGTGAAAGGGGCTGGGTTCCCAGAGGGGCCTTAGGAGAGGTAACACCTGGTGAGCCTCTGCGGGAACCCTTCCCCATGGAAACATTTTAAGCATTTTGAAACAAAGACAATACAAAACATCTCAAGTTTCCTATTCCCGTTTCTTAAGTTTCATATAGTCATTTGTAGTAAAATGTATCAGACACTCTCCAGCGACAATTCAGGTAGGAAATTACACTTGAATCTGAGCCCCTGAGCGGCTAGAAGGGCCTTAGAAAGAGTGCAGCAGCCATGAGTTGGGATAGAGCTGGTGACAGTTCATCATTGGCCCTTTACTCTGTCTCATAAGCTTGCCTTAATCCCTTCTCTGGACATGATAGCAAAGCTTGACACAAAATGTAACACAATAGCTTTTCTTCCTTGGGGACTGAGGCCCCAGAATGCTTTGTGAGTGAACCAAGTCGGTTGCCCATTAAGGCCGTGAGGCTGCCCCAGGTAGAGGGTGGGGACCAGCTGTCATTGTGCAGGGGTGGGGATGGAGAGGCCTTCATTCCTTTCTGCCTCCCGACCACACCCCTGGAAACAAAGCGGAGCGCCCTGACAAGCGCTGCCGTAAGGGCGACACTCAGAGTGTCCCGCTGGAACAGGAGGTGGGCACCGTCGCCACGCTCCCGGGTCAGCAGGGACCCTGAGATGATCGCCAGACCGCTCCCGCACCCAGGGGAAGGCCGTGATAATAAAGGGCAGGGTAGATTAGAGAAACGCACAGAGCTGGTCCTGACCCAGCCCCGGCTCTTCTCTCCAGCCTCACACATCACCACATCTTTCTTTCCACAACACGTACAGGGGCACACGTACATGCATGCCTGAACGCACACTGTGTAAACACACGTGGAAACCCACCTGTTTAGCCAGGCCTCCATGCTCGGCGTCTGCAGCATCCACAGGCCTGTTCTCGTTGCTTGAAATCTTGCTCCCCGTGTCCCCCAGTGCCCACCCCAACCCTCCAGACTTCCTCTCTTGGCCAATGCCCACCTGACCTCTGGGTCTCCTCCTCGGGGGAGCCCTCCCGGACCTTTTACGACGTGGCCAGGGGCCCGAGCCCGGAGCCCTCCTCATGCTCTGTCCATCCCTAAGCAGGGTCACCAGTCTCTCCCCAGCTTTGCCTGGCCGAGGTCGGTCATCCCACTAGACTGCCTCGTGTCCAGACCCCACCCCGTGATAGAAGCTCAGAGGATGTTTATAGAATGAATACATGAGTAACAATA